TGGGGGGAACATTCCACTCTTTGGTTTAGACGCTGCTGCAAACAAGTTTAGGAATCTTTTAACTCGGATTTTCAAAATGATTGGGTGACGCAGCGAATGTGAGAACAAAGTATTGCAACATGTCAGTCTGCCCAGATATCTAGGACGCCCTTTCCGAAAGGCTCAGAGGAGGGCTGGGGGATGCGTATTCTCACCTGGAGTTTTTGTAAGCTAACTCAGCCTAGGTGTAAAATTCACTCTCCTCGAGAGCTAAAGTCACTGAAACTAGTAACAATTTCTTCCATTTATAAAAATCCTAGCACTAAAACACAGTTTAGAATGGCTTAAAAATCTGGTCACTAGACTCATAAAGATCATATTAATTCACCAGGACACTGAAGGCTTTTTAAAGAAGGATGTGAAAGGTCTCAATTCCCACACACCTGACGATTGGGGACTACAGAATAACTGTTTTAAACTTTATAGTGAAAAGGTGAAACAGCAACTGAATGAGCTCTTAGGAATAATGCAGTGATACAAGTAGCAATGGCTAATATAGGTCTTCAAAAACTATAGCAAGGGGACCGGTCAGTTCCATGTTGGGCTTTTGCAAATGAGACTAAAAGCATTCCACGGAAATTTGTAAGATCTAATCGCAAACTGAAATACCTACACAAGAAGTTAAAAAATCGCTCCACTTCTGCTCTTTTAGGAACAATTCCAATTAAAATCACGTGGAATCCCTGTTCCACAGTGAATATCCAAACTACGGTATCAGAGAGAGCCCTGGATCAGGCGACATCAGACCTGGGCTCCAGTTATAGTTCTGTTACTAACTGCTTTTATGACTATACTCCAGCACTTAAGTACTGGAATGGAATACACTATCATATAATGTGGTTAAAGGTTATTTTATACACTATAACCGATTTGTTTCATGCGTAATATTCTTCAACTAGACTACCTTTTCTTCCTTTTTTTATCTCATCACTGATTTCTTAAATTTTCTGTCTTGAGTGAAAAATGAATGTTGTATGACACTCACTGGTGATTACCAATGTCATGCAAAACAAGATCACATTTGCATTTCATTGAGAGCACCAAGTCCGATATGCAGGGCCGATAATGCAGAAATGCCTAACAAGTACTTTGGAATGAATAATAGAATAAATATTTATTTACTGAGAAAATAAACGAGAGAACAGGAGAATGACAGCTGTTTCTCTCTAATTGGTTTGTAAAACATTCATGTCTGTAAACACAAAGAACCCCAGGTTGGCCTTCCAGATTCATTTTTATCACAATTTTCACTTCTCTGGGAAGTTGGAAACACAGTTTTGTGTTTCTACTATGTAATGGTAATAAAAGCCCACTTCATTTTGATCAAAGTGGCAGTATGGACAATTTTAAAACTCTTTCTTACAAAACATCTAGAATTGTTGAAAAACATTATTTTAAATGCCTAAGCTCTCTCTGAAATGAAAAAACCCCTTAAGAGCCAAAAAAAAGACCCAAGAGGAAATACATCTTCTGTCACTTTTGCCACTGGATTGTATCAGTTTCAGGAGCCAAAAGGCTTGGATTTTAGTGGCCACAAAAGGATAGAAAACATGATCTTGGGATTTATGTGAGAGCCAGGACTTTCCAAAAACCACATCCTCAGAAAAAGGATGGATTGAAAAAAAAAATCTGTCCACTAACAAAGAAAGACACAGGCAAGTTTGTTTTGGTCTGGTCACAGATGGAGAGGTTATTAGTGAACTGGAAGACAGAACTAAAGAAACGACCCAAAATTAGGCGCAAAGAGATATATACAAAATAGAGGGTCAAACATATAAAGAACAGGATGAAATAGTCTAGTGCATGTCTAATAGGAATTCTAGAAGGAGATTCAAGAAAGATCAGAGATAAGACAAAAGTCAAAGAGATAATAATACACAGTTATTCAAAATTTACGAAAACCATGAATCCTCAGATTTAGAAAAAAACAATGAATCCTAAGCAGACAACATAAAGCAAAACACACACATAAACATGTTGTATTGAAACTTCAGAATTCCAAAGACAAAAGAGATCTTAAAATCAACCAGTGAGAAAATACAGATTATCCATAAAAAGGAGCAACAATTAGACTGGCAGCTGACTTCTCAAAAGCAGAGTTAAAGCAAGAATATGGGGGAACAACAACGCCAATGTTATAAGATAAAATAACTATCAATCTATAACATCCAATTGAAGTATCATTCAAAAATGAGGGCAAAGTAAAAACATTTTCAGGAAAACAAACACCAAACTGAGCGTAACAACCAAGTAGCACCCACTGACAGGATTTCTACACGGTGCACTGCAGTGGAGGAGCACAAACCAACAGTAAACAGTGGGACGCAAAAGAAAAAGTGAACAAAGAAATTGGCAATCATGTCAATGAACCTAAACAAGCACTGCCTGTGTGCACCAATTATAATTTTTGATTAAAGTGGTAAAAAAGTAAGGTGGAACTGAAATACTGGATAACAATAATGTGGGAATCAGGAGAGATTTATTGGAGCCAAAGTGTTTTAAGGTCACTTTGGAAAGGGAGTAGAAAGACTCACTTCAAATTTTAAGTCAAAAATATTAAAGGGATGTCTAAAAAAACAAAAATAAAGTATATAACTTCTAAGTCAAGAAAAAAATAAATTAACCTGAATTAGAAGAAGAGAAAGCAGGAAAGGAAGGAGGGAAAATAAGTATAGAAAAAGCAGGGTAAAGAGAAAGACCACAAAAAAAAAAAAAAAAGAGTAAAATAAAAAAAGAGTAAAAAATTAAAAATGTTAAAGAGAAAGGCAAAAATTAAACTTCAAATTAAATTCAATAAATCAGTAGTAACAATAAAAAACGTAAATGGACTAAACTCACTAGTTAAAAGAAAAAGATCTCACAGATTAAAAAGAAACAAACTCAGCTATGAGTCTTCCACAGACAGGAACATTCACAGTACTGTTAGTATACCTGGGCCCATCAGTCTTGCTTAATTTTTTTCTAGTTATTTCATCTATCACATTTTCAAATTTCCAGACTACCCAGATTTTAGAAGTTCAGAGTTTTCTTATTTTGGTGACTTGCTCTTTTTAAAATCCACAGCTGTATTTCATCTACAAAGATGCTCTACCATTGTCTGTTTTTCACCAGTGAGTGTCATACAACATTCATTTTTCACTGATCTTAAGACAGAAAGTTTAATAAATCAGTGATGAGATAAAATAGGAAGAAAAGGTAGTGTAGTTGAAGGATACTTTGTACCAAGTCCTTTTATAACCTTAACTTTCCAGGTTGACAAAGGACTCAACTGTAGTCAGACCTCCTGTGTGGTAGTCACACTTTGCACTCTGCATCTCAAGAAGACGGCTGAGCACATCTCCACAGATTCCTTCAGGACCTCCCAATTCTGCCCTGCTCTGATGTCAAACAGTACCAAGACACACTACTGCTCCCTCCAGGAAATCTTTTTATCCTTTATCATTTTCAGCATCTATTAGCTGGCTACTCTCAAATAATACTAATCTATAAAAAAATCCCATCTCAGTGTCTGACAGGGGAGTTGTATTTAATTTTCTTCCCCTTGATTCTTTAAATGACTTGCTCTTGTGGTTATTCTGAGTATTTTTGTATTATGAGTCATTCTGAGCAAGTGCCTGGGAATTTAGGAAGAAGGTTTTGTTTTGCTATTTTGATTTACTGTATGATTGACCCTGAGCCAGTCATTGAACCTAATCAAGGAATTTCATTCATTGCTAAATAAAGATAAAAGGCCTGGGTTAAAATTAGTCTCCGCCACCTAATGACTCAGTCTCTTAATAACTGACTCATAGAAATTAATTAGCTTTTACCTATAACATTTCCATTTGGAAAAGATCTCCTTTATTATCCTTCCCTAGTTGTAGCACTTTCACATCTCTCTGTCTGTCCCCTGTTACCTCTCCATTTGTTTATCTAACTTTACTGCTCAGTTTCAATGAACAACCACAGCCCTCCATGATAATCAGCCCAAAATTAAGTTTTGATGCTGTAGGTGAGCAGCGGTAAAAATAGATAAATAAATAAATGAAAAAGAAATACAAGTGGAAGGAAAAGTAGACTTAGACACAGAAGCCATGATTCAGGGTTATGCTCTCCATGTGCTAATTTCGTGATTTTAAAAAAGTCAGTTACCTTCTCTGAGCTGCATTTCTAATTTATAGAATGGTAACCACACATCTCCATCTTCTTCTTCTTCTTCTTCTTCTTCTTCTTCTTTTTGGGGGGGGGGGGGGAAGGAAGATTGGCCCTGAGCTAACATCTGTGCCAATCTTCCTCTATTTTACATGTGGGATGCTGCCACAGCGTGGCTTGATGAGCAGTGTGTAGGTTGGCACCTGGATCCGAACCCGCGAACCCCGGGCCAGCAAAGCAGAGTATACAAACTTAACCACTGCATCACCCGGCTGGCCCCACACAACTCCATCTTCTTACCTCATGAGTGATTGTTACAAAAACCAGACAATGAACATGGACATAGCTTTTAAAAGCCATAAAGTACTATGCATTTGTATTCACATTAACTGAATAATCCTATCCACTGATGCAAGAATTTAGTCTATGAGACTCATGAGAAGGTCTTATGTGATCTCCATCCAGGCTAGACAGATACTATTAAAAATTATAACTGAGTAATTTGTAAATATATAAACCATAAATTCAGGACAAGGAAGATTTTAGAGTAATGAAATGTAGTTTAAGAATGGAAGCAGCATGATTTTGGTGTGTGCTGGAAATCCAGGGAATAAAGTAATTAATACTTGAAGATCTTCCTTATTTTAAGTTTTAATCATTTGAATCTATAACCAATGGTGGATGCCAAAAATACAAAATGAATGAAAGGAAAACTGAAGAGTTAGGAGATTTCAAGGTGGGACCCAAAGAACTACTGCAAATCTTATCTCTGGATCATGTAGAAATTCTAGGGAAAAAGTCTGAAGACAGGAGCTGCTTCACTTGCTCACCTTTGTTCAGTATTAAAGAGCGCAAAGATATGCTTGCTAGACATAAAGCTCTTTTCCACATCTCGCACTTTCAGGTTGTCCAAGGGGAGCATATACTTCTTTTCTTTTTCCTATTAAGAGAGAGAAGAGAGAGAATTGGTTTTAATAAAAGATCTTGCAGCATGCCAATGGCAACATACCACCTGAGTTGGCTAATACTTGCTTACAATATCTTGATCCCATCACACTCTATTTTGATACCAGCTACCAAGGAGTAAAAGTTATCTGACAGCGGAGACTCCAGTGATTCTCCACACGTGGTGGGAAGAATGAGGGAGGGCCAGTGCAGAGGAAGGAAGGGCTCGGTGATGGAGAAAACACATGGTCTTCTATCCTTTCTTCCTCATGTGGGTCCCCTTAGATGTTTTAAAATGTTAGTTTGATATTAAGAATTTAGCCATCTGTTAATATTTAACAAAAATGTTCTGGTCCTAATTCAATGAGAAATGCCAGATGGATTTCATTTCATATTTTATTTGCAGCCTAAGCAGTTTTGATAGCCAGTGCTGGCAGGGGACTGAAAGCACAAGGACCCCGGTATGAATCACCCCCTACAAACTATGATAAAGCACAGAAAACACTTCCTTCGTTTGGGTCTAGAATAAAATGTGGGTCCAGAAAAAAAATGATTCCATTAAATTGTGGAGCACTTTGAGAAAAAAGAATCCATTAGTAGTGGACTGATATTAACCAGAACAAATTATCTTTTAAAATTTACAATTCTTTAGGAAGAAAATTGACATTGGAGAGGGAAAGTCTGCAAATGGGACCAAACTGGTCTTCGTAAAACATACTGAACGGCAAAGAATTATTAGAAACGTTTACTTTCAGGGACTGGTCCAGGGGCAAGATTATCATATGTATAAATGCCTAACAGCCAGTATCATAGGAGAGAGCCAAACACTCAGTCAACGTCCGTTACCAGGGGCATTTTAGCACAGTGCTTGTTAAACAGTAGTCTTCTGTATGGTCCCAGCCTATACCTCCAGTGCTAGTCCTGAGAAAAAGCCAGACTAGACTCCAGAGGAGGGGAACATGGAGACTTAGCCACAACCTTTAATAAACACTATTAATGTATTTCCTGTGGGAAATCCATGCACTGTACAGATATGTTTGATATAAGCCTTTTTGTTCCTGCAGCTGCTAAGCAGCTCCTTGAGAACTTGTGGCTAGGCTTCATAGTGTGGAGCAGATCTCCCGTGTCTCCTAGCCAGCCTGTGGGGGCCATGTTGTCTGCAGACCCCATAGAGAATTACTGCAGGGAGTATCCGTGGCTTTGCCACTTCTCACTCCTAAATGAATCAAGGAAAGTTAGGCAGAGCACACGGGAATAACAAGGCAGAGAGAAATAGATGACTAAAGAAATAGAAGGAAGCTAGTTGGAGAACAAAATGGCTGTCCTGGCAGACAATGTCTTCAAAGATTAAAAAAAGATAAAAGAAACTAAATGGGAGTGAGAGAAGCCTAAGAATACGCACGAAAAAGCAAAGCACTGGAAGAAGTTTCCAATGTTTCTTGTACAAAAATTAATAATATATTAGCAAACACAAGGATATTCCAAATAGCAAAATAAATAATTTAAGCAAATGAAGTATCATAGTTGAGTCTAACTTCTTTGAAACACTTGTCAAACTATGTTAGGACAGAATTCTAAGAGGCAAGATTGTAGATCGAATGAAAAGCTATCCAATACATAATCAAACGAAAATGCTTGAGACCCAGGGAACGTTTTTTTATTGGACATTTTTCAATGCCCTAAATTTAAGCAGCTGGATTTTTTAATGCACCATCCTATTCAACCTTTTGAAATGATGGATTCGACTTTTAATGAGAAATCTGCATTTCATTGTAAAGATGGAACACAATGTCCTTGGCATGTTTTCTATAGAAGTAGGCTCCCTTTTGTACTGCATTCTTTCCCATATAGTGAAGACTGAAAATTCTGCAAGTTTACGTCGGATATTAAACACTGGAGAAATACACACATATGCAGACAGAGGAACATGAAAAATGCAGTTTCATTTCCAAAGTACTAAATGTCATTTACTCAAGGTTTTTGAGGACATTTTGCTAAATTACTTCATAGTCAAGAGTTTTAAGACTGACAAAGGAAGAAGAAAAAGGAGATTCAGACTAACTTCTTTAATTAAAGTTGTAGGTCAAAGGGAGAATTAAATGAGAGAGCAATGAAACAGTACATCATGGATATTTCTAAAATTCTTAGTGCTTTTGGGAAAGAATGATGTTCTGCTAAAAGAACATCTTGAATATGGAATAGCTAAAATAAACAAAAGGAATATGGAGGAGGAGAACGGATAAACTGAATTATAACCTCCAATATACAGGGAGTCTTAGCACCAGCTTAATTGGGACATTTGCTATAAAGTTTCTGTTGGTTCTATTAAACTGTCTAATAATGCACTGCATATGGCAGTCACCAGCCACAGGTGAGGCCTCGAAACGTAGCTAGTTGAATTGGGATGTGCTCTAAGTGTTAGATACATACCAGATTTCAAAGACTTAGCATGAGAGAGAGAACGTAAACTATCTCATTAATACTTTCATATTGATTATATGTTGAAATGATAATATTTTGAATACATTGGAGTAAATAAAGTATTACTAAACATAATTTCATCTGTTTATTTTTACTGTTTTGAATGTGGCTGCTAGACAATTTAAAATGACAAATGGGGCTCACATGAACTTTCTATTGACAGTGCCGAGCCCCACGTACTTATCATCACTTTCCTTCCTCTCATCTGTCTAGTTTTTTCTCTTCTGACCTCCCTGTTCCCGCCATCAGGTGTATTTTTCATTCTCCCAGTCACCCAATCTGAAATGTCACTATCTTTTCTGATGTATTGTCTTCCTTCACCTCCTTTATTACAGCAAGACTATGTTGCGTTGTGTTTGAGCATCTGTCGGAGCTCCCCTTGTCTGACATTCCCACTACATTAATCCAAGTCCCGGGCATCTCACAAGCGTGTGGTTATAAATGGCCTCTTATCTAGTCTCCTTGCCTTCTAATTCCTCTAACATCACCAGGAAGGGCAACTTTCTAAATCTACTCTCTCAAATTCATTCCAGTCCTTCAAAACTTTCATAGCTCTCCATTATTTATGGAAGAAAAATCCATGAAACTCCTTAATGTGACATTGAAAAACACCTACAAATTGGTCCAATCCTGATTTGTCAATATCTCCTTTACTCCTCCATAGGAAGTCTCCATTTCAACCAAACACACCTCTGCCAACACTCTTTTCCCAACTTGAGATACCCTGTCAACTTCCTACCATATCAATGTATTATTTAGAATGCAGCTGAAATTCTACCTTCTGTGCAAAAAGTTTTTCCAAGTTTATAACTGTCTGTCTCTCTGTCATTCCCCCATCTCTCTCCTTTCAATTCGGACAATGGGTATTGTTTATTCTGTTCATTTTGAATTACACCGTATTTCAGACATCTATATCTTACAAATGCATTACATTCAAAAATTTTTGTGAAGGTTGTTCATTTGGAACTCAGAATGTTCAGTCAATTCTATTGCTGAAATAGCTCATATTTGCAAACAAAAACAAAAATGTACAGAATGTTTTTTGCAATATTTGTAAATAAACAAGAAGTAAAATTTGATATTTTAAAATTTTATCTTAAACAGGCATTTTGGAGGAAGCAGTTGTAAAATTCCGAATAAAAATTTTTTAATGGAGATTCAGAAAGGAACTGCATATTTTCAAAAGCTTCAGAAGTTGATGTCACTGATTCAACATCATTCGTTTCTTCACCTTTCAACATAGTACCTCGTTATAAGACATTACCAGCACTATTTGTATGGAAGGAATCCAGATGACAGTGATTCTTGTTCAAAGAGAGATGGAACATGAGAGAGTTAATGTTCTTTCCTTGCAGTAACTTAGCAAGATTGGAAAGAAAGAGGAGAAATAGGATAAGGCCAAAAAAGAATGCATCTAATGTATGAAAGAGTGTGGTAGGAGGTGGAAGTAACTGAACTTTGAGTGGTAAAAGGTAAGAGAGGAATCAAAGTGGAGGGAGGTGAGGATTATGGTACGTCCACAGTATATGTTCATCGCTCTTGAAAGGAAACAACAGGATCAGTGAGGGACAGATGTGGGGTCGGCAAGTGCCCAATGATGGCCTCTAGCCGACAGAGCACCACCAATATAACTTGGTTGCTGGAGGAGCCACAATGGGTAAGAGGAGAGGGTTGGGTGTGTGGAGGAGTAGCTCCTGCATAAGCAAAGGACTGGAGAGTCTGCATACACTTGGTGATTTACATGTAGGGAGTTTCCTAACTTGAGGAATGTTTGAGTGGCGTTACTTTGATGACTACATTGAATCATTTTTTTGTACATACCTTTTCTCACTAATAAGGCAACAAAATCTTCAAGGACAAGACCATAAGTCCTTCTTCATTTCTATACATTATAATGTCTAGTAAAGCGTGGGTCATTGAAATCTACATAGCATATACCATAAATATTTGTTGAATTGATTTGAGAATGTCTGACAACCAAAGTCGAATGTTGAGTAAGATAATTGATAGTCACACATATTTGAGAACCAAATAAAAATTCTATGGAAAAAAATGACTGCATAGGATGCTTAACTGATTGGCATTGCTTCTAATCACTAAACCTTTACAAAATTTAGATTGACTGCCATGATTATTTCTATCTCTGCCTTTGTTTGTATTGCTTCTCTTTGCTAGGAATGTCTTCTCCCCTGACAGAAGGCAAATACTAGTGGACTTGAATGTCCACTAATACGTCAAGTGTCACCTCTTCCATAAAGCCTACTCTGATTACAGCATGTCATAGACCTCTTTCTTTTATAGGTCTCAAATTTTCCATAATTTTCGCCATAGACTATCTAGGATGCCACTTTATTTATGTTCACTTTGCTTCTTTAAGTAGAGTGGAAGCTCCATGAGGGCAAGGATTGTTATAACTTTTTGTGTTTACACTTCACAGTTATTACATTGTTACATACACAGATGTTACTTAACAGACATTTGATTGTTGATGATGCATCACCCATAAAATTCCAA